GTTACTTGGCATAACGTATAATTTGACAAGCTACGTCAAAAATATAGGGAAAAGTCGGGAAAAACTGAGTTTATTTGAGGTTTTGTTGAGATTTTGTAAATGTCACATTGCATTTTCATGTCATTTTGGACATCAAATTTTTTGTAAACGCTTAACTTTTGAACGAATGCAAGAAATTAGTTCATTCTACCATATTCAGGATTCATCAAACATGAAAGAAAAATTATTTCACAAAATGATTTCTAGTAATAGTATTTATGCAAAGCGGGATGAATCGCTAGTGGACTATAAACTATTTTGAGAGAAAAGACCGTATAGAAAAATTGTATTATAATTCGGCAATGGAGCTAAATTTATACATTAACTAGTTCTTTTTTCACCTTTTAAGCCTTGTCTGGACTTTTACGAATTCTTCAAGGCCAAAATTAGTCGAATCGGTTCAGCTGTTCTGGAGGTTTAACGAGACCAACGAACGGAAACTAATTTTTATTTAAATAGATACTTTACTTAACTATCCCTTTACTAGTCTGTCGTTAGAAGATAACAATTAACTACATTTATTGATAAATATTCTACATTATACCAAAACCCATCTTAATGTACCCACTCCAAGGTACCAGGATCGCATAAAATTATAAGAGCACTATTACCACTTCACTAAAAGGGTTATATTCACGGTGTAAGACTGGCCAGTGATAATCCCAAACCATTCCACAACCCTTACTATTATTATTCTAAATTCAAAAGTTTGTGTGTATGTGAGCATACTAGTTATTCGATCACGTCAAAAAGGCTAAAGGGAAAGTCAAAGCATTTATTTCAATTACTTCTTAATTACGCACTATTAAAACGTATAAATTAAATTGTCTGTCAGTGAAGCTAGGCGCTCGTTTCAAAGTGTAGTTTTGAAAAGAGAAGAACGAACAACAAACTCCATCGATGCTCTTTTAAGAAAAACGTTGTTCCTACCTCCTACTTCTACTTCCTATTACTTTACATAGATTTCAGTAGACTGCGCGACATCGCCACGACCGCGCACACTGCTCATGAGGAAGAACCCCTCTGTGGTTCTAAACTAGTAGATTTTTTCTCAGTATATTCACGTGAGTAACCCGCGATTTTTAGTTAATGTAGTATGTCTCAGAACAGTTATTATAAAAACAAGGTATATATTATGGTCAGCAATAACACATAGGTTACTTTTTACTCCTGGGGACGTGAGCGAAACCGCTGACAGAGAGTACATGAAACATTTCATTATAATACATAATGAATGAAATATTTCATTATGAAAGAGATTTTAATGAGGTTTCGGTTGCAATGTTAAAATTGAATTTCACACGCGAATTGTAATTATGATGATGTTTTGGTTTGTCGTGTTATATTATTGTTTTTAATGATTTTCATCGTGTACTCTTGATTGGATATTTTGATTCATATGATGTTATATTCTATTCATTTGAAAATGTTTGTAAATGAAAGACATCGCAAGTGCGACTGTCGCGCAAAGGGACTCGGGTTCTATTCCCAGGTCGGGCAAATTATTACTGGGTTTAAAAAAAAATATCAGTAGTAGCATGGAGTCTAAAATTGTGCCCGGTATATGGCAATAGGCTCACCCCCTATTAGATGGGACTCATAACATAAGTAGTGAAAAGTGGGTGTTACATTGTACAGTGGCATTAAATGCCATAATGTGCACCTCTGCCTACCCTTTCGGGGATAATGTTTGTAAATGTTTGTAATGTAAATTTAAATTGTTTTTTGTAGCATGAATTTATCTAACTAGCAATTTAATCCATTCTATATCTAGCAAAATTCAGACAAATTGCCTGTTAGATGCAATAACTAGGCATCTGGATACCACACTAGTAAACTAGGTAAACCAGAAACTGGTTCCTACTTACTGTGCTGCAGATTCCATTCGAAAAAAAAAAATATTTTTTTTTATATCGATGGGCCGACGTATGACCACTATCTCGCCCGGTGTTAAGCGATGATGCGGTCTACGATGGAGCACGTCGTCCCATAAGCAACCTATTCACTCGGGCCTTGAAGACACCCCGGTTATAGCTTTCAGAAAATACAGACTCTGGTAAAGAATTCCAGTAGCAGTACGTACAAATGTGAGACCGATAATTTTAACATATCCATATCATCATGTCTTAAGGACTAATAAACTGTCATTGACGACAAACCACAGGCTCAGGAGAATCACAAGTAGGTATTCAGTCAACAGTCAATTATAATTAAGCAATTAATGTAATTGACATATAGTTACGACACAGGTACTATCACTTTGAGATGGCACTTACTGTGAAGCTTTACCTAAATACGTATATTAATAAGATAATATGTATGTATGTATCTTGGGTATGTAGATTACACAATAGCGACATTAAACATTATTATATCGACCTCTTAGTGGCGATGTTGTGTGAGTTTGATGAAGATCTTGTACACAGACAAGTAATAATTTAGTTGATTCTATTACTTACTTACTATATTTGTATTGTAACTTTCGTGAGACATGCTAAATAAATTATTATGTTTTCGGCTTACTCACGTAATAGCTGCTACTATAGTAGTAGCGCGACAGTCGCCGCGTCGCAGGTCGCGAATGCTGCTCATGGATATGAGCCTCTAGCATGGCTTGAAACTAGTCAAATTATTACGTATGTATTTAAGTAAGTAAGCCGAAAATATTATACTTACTTACTATTGAAATTGTTTAAAAAACCAACTTCAATCCCTTTTCCTTTTTGAATACGGTTCCTTATTCTACTACAACCTTCTTATCAGTGTAACAAACGCTTTTCTGAAATCCGCATCAATATCAGTTCAGCCAATTGCGAGACAATCGCGCCCGAACTTACATTAAGTCAAAATGTTAACCTCCTTTTTTTGAAGTCGTTTAATTGAATTAAAGAAGGGAATTACTCCCGTAAATAAGTTTCTCAAGGGTCGGCAAGGCGCATTTAATACTTCAAGTGTTGCAAACGTTCATAGGCAACCGCTTACCATGGACCGATGGGCCGTGTGCTTTTTTTTGTCACCATCGTGATATAAAAAAAATATACGATCGATATGAATCTTTCATTTACAAAGTGATCGCAAATAGATATAGCACTTAGGCAAGGAATCTCAGGTCCGATTCTCGGGTTGAGCTAAGCATTATTGGAGCTATTCCGAAAGAATATGAAGTTTAAAAATCTCACCTTCCTTAGGGGACATATTTATTTATTTATTTTTACTTCTGTATGACAGACAATGGCGGACTTAATGCCGAGTGACATTCTCTAACAGTCAATCAGTCTTATAATAAAACAATAGATGTGTATAATATTACGTGAGTTACATTGTATGAGTTCTTCCTACCCTTTAAAACACTAAAAAGATGAACTTTAAGAAATAAGATACCACAATGACGCCAGTGCAGAGACCGCTAATGTACCACTATATTGTTGACACAATGAATGGACTCGCCCGTCTTATATTATATTGGACTAAGCCCTTTACAAGACTTTAGTGGGAAATCCTGACTAATCCTGAGCTTATGTAAGAATGAAAATACTAGTCTTACACTAGTCTACGGTATTTCTATGGAAGTGTTTAAAATCTATACTAATATTATAAAGCTGAATATAATATTATAAAGCTGAAGAGTTTGTTTTTTTGTTTGTTTGTTTGAACGCGCTAATCTCCGGAACTACAAGTCTGATTTGAATAATTCTTTTTGTGTTGGATAGCGCATCTATCGAGGAAGGCTATATGCTATAAAACGTCACGCTACGACCAATAGGAGCTGAGCAGAGTGTGTGAAACCGCGCGGAAGTAGCTAGTTGGAGATAAAATAGGGTACTGGTAATACGTAATCCAATGCTAGGTTCTGACTTTTCATTCTCAAAAATAGTATAAAAAAGAAACTTTTTCTGTCTTAAATTGCAGATTCAAATCGCCGTTCAAAGTAATCATTTATAAAAAAGCTAGCTACTTTAGTTTTTAATTACAAATTGCCACCCCCATAATTTGTTTCTCGAACCCTCCGTCCATATTAACGCAATATACCATAATGGACAATATCCGACTACACACTATAACCACGTAATGTCCAACTAAACCCTAAAATTTAAATAAAACTCCCATACCCGCCTCATGACTAGATAATCCATCACCCTCCCACATTATGGTGAGACCGCACCTAACTCAAATGGATTTTCGTGGAATAATATTCTATGGTTACCGTAAAACTGATAAGAGCAAAAACAGAAGACTCACTCGTTTAAATAGGAACAACATGACCGTGAAAAACGTTTATCGCAAAATATGTAACAGAAACAGAGTAATGTTCTAATGAACCTTCTGCGTGTACAGATTATGTGGTGTCCTTAAGTACCATTGATATTCAAACAATTGCCATTGTACACGGGGACCATAAACGAGCTACAATTTATAGTCCACCGAGTGTTGTACTGAATAATATTGTAATAGATGACATATCACATAATTGAACCTTTTTGTTTGATGCATTCCCCACTCGCGTGCCTACGTGTACTTCATTATGTTTGTTGTTATAGGATAATAGCATTTAGTGTTTACGTCATTGATACGTGAGTTATTTGGCAACGAATATGTTTGTTTACTCACCACTCGCCAGGATGTCCGAATGTTTGTTTTAATTCGTGTTTGATTGCGGATCGTGATCACAATCCAACTCATCATTAACTAAATAATTGAACCGTAACCTATCGTTAATTCAGCTGTTTTTAACTCGAGTTATCTTTGGATGAAAACATTCAACAAACAATAATCTATTTAATTTACATTCGACATTGAAAGCTCCACATAAAAGGTTATTATTATTCTCTGTATTTTGTTAGCTTTCCAAGCGAACAGAATAGCCAACAGAACTTGGAATCCGCAAACAACTTGAAACAATACTGACTATTTGTCTAGTCTAGTTGGATCCGACCCTCATTATTGTGCTCTGTTTGTTTCAGGTAATCGAACATAGCCGAGACATGCCGAACATGCCCGAAGGTGAAAACGAAACGAAAGTGTCCCAAAATTAATTTGCCATGACATCCGAGGAGCCTATCGATGTCGTCGCCAAAAAAGACGCCAAAAAGACAGATGAGTGTGCTAACTTCGCGTTACCAGACAATAAAAAGGACAAAAGTGTGGTGGATCAAAAACAAAAGCGTTCACAAGAACTAATGAGGCTAGTGTACGAATTACCCGAAGAAATTAAGAACCCGGATATAATAGAAAATAACAATATGTTGAAAGAGAACCCACCGATCACGATCGTGGAGATCACAGAACAGAATGGTTGTGCTGAGCTAAATGCTACTCAATGTGATAACGATTATTTTAACATAGACGGCAGTCCAAAGGACTTAGGCAATAAGGTGGTATACGACGTGCTTGCTACAAACGAACTGATAATGCACTGTGCGGAGGAGTTCAAGGAGGTTATAGATAGGTCGTCGCCTGATGATTGCACTGACGAGGACTTGTTAGAGTTGAAGAAGTTACTGGAAGGAAAGCCAAAAGTGTTGGATAGGTATATTCGTGAATGTGCAAGTACGGACGAAGTGACAAGACTGCATAGTCTAACATCATCGGGTCCTTTGTCTCCAAGGCCACACCACGAGGCTCGGAGTACATCGGTGACGTCAGACCTGTTCCAACTATGGCTGTCATCGTCTCCGGTTAAGGTGGGTGATAATTTTTAATGTTTCATGACGTCTTTTAGGTGCTAATGTTAGAGATGATTGAATGCGCTGTTAATATGTTTTTAATGCCAGAGTTTACATTGAATTTGGTCAGAACCAAAAATGAAGACTATTTTAAAATAACGGTTACTTTAAAGGAGCAAATATGATCTATGCCACAATAATTTTAATGTTATTATTTCATAAATTTTTCATTTCTTAGTCAAAAAGCAGGAATGCAATTCCGACAGTACCTACCCTATATTTTCTCTTTGGGCTCCTTTGCTTTGGTATGTAATTAGGTGGAATTAAATGGTTCTCTTCCATTTCCCTTCAGTACAAAGTTTATATTTCTCTAGGTTTTTATTTCTAGAATGATTCTTGAATAAACTTGTAGCTAACATTACTCGGAGTGTTTTTACAACTGTAGGAAAATTCAAATGTTCTTATATAATTATATTTGCTTGACTGCCTCATTGGGTGAGTGGTCGTAAGTGCGACTGCCGGGCAAGGGGTCTCGGGTTCGATTCCTGGGTCGCGCAAAATATTACTGGGTTTTAAAAAAAAATCTCAGTAGTAACACGGAGTCTGGAAATGTGCCCGGTATATGGCGGTATATAGGCCCCCTATTACATGGGACTCATAACATAAATAGTGAAAAGTAGGTGTTACTTCTTCTACCTACCCCTTTGGGGATAAAAGGCGTGATGTTATGTTATGCTATAATTGTATTTCAAGATCTTGTTTCAGTTTGTTTTATTAAAACTAAGGCAGCCTCGTCTAGAGTTGCAAGTGTTATTGTCGAACAAGTAGTTTCAGCTTCGATTGCGGGTACACACAAAAAACTATTCATCAACAATGTATTACTGGACTATAAGGTATTCTCTACATAACATATTATATTTAACTTTTCGATATTCGTATAAATAAAGAATGTCACTCAAAGCTGATAAATAATAAAGAGTTTTCTCAAAGAAAATATACAAATGTAACGTATGAAATAACTTTGTCTGTCGGTGCCAATATAAACCAAATTGAATTTATTGGCTTGGAAGGTATTTTTCTTATTTTATTGTATTCACTCATCGATGTCTTAGAATTTCCTTCAGATGTTTAAATGATAAGGATTTTATTATTATCTACCTAACCAAAAGTATCTTTACCTAGTCGTGGTTTTATTATCGTCATCACGCGTAAGAATTGTAATGATCATAGGTCTTGTGTGATTATTCCTCAATAATGCCCAATCATTATCAACGTCAGTCATCAACGCCCAATTCCTAATACTTTTCCTGACCCAGAAATGATCTCTGGTCAGGCAAATCTCATTGGATGTTTTTCGGTTATTTTTTTAATTGTTGGAAATGGTTCGCCTCTTTGGCCTCGTTGGTCGCAAGTGCGACTGCCAGGCAATGGGTCTCAGGTTCGTTTTCCGGATCGGGCAAAGTGCTTACTGGGTCTTTTTTCAAAAGTCTAAGTAGTAGCACGGAGTCTGAAATTATGCCCGGTATATGGCAATAGGCTCACCCCCTATTACACAGGTCTCACTAACATAAATAGTCAAAAGTGGGTTGTAATACCCATGTACAGTGGCATTAAGTGCCGTAATATGCACCTCTGCCTACACCTAAGGGGATAAAAAGGCGTGATTTTATGTTATGTCTAAAGTATAATATTATGTCCAATTGATGCGTTTTTTTTTTAAATAGATAGCATATTGCATCCGTGCGAAGTTACTAGTTATGTATAATTGGCTAGTATAATAATAAGTTTTAGGTACATTTAAAACTTTTCATAATTTTGTAATAATATATCTGTACATATTTCTCATCTATTTCAGTACATCTCGGAAAATCTTCGTCAACTTTTACGTAATTAGAGAAATTATTTTCTTAAACTCACGATGAGACGTTTACTTTGAATTAAGATATTAATATTCCTTTCCTTATTTCTTCGAATAGCTCCTTATACTTGTGTAGGTATGTCTTTAATATTAAAATTGTTTATATTTTCAAAAATATTAAGGTGTGGGAGAGCCATGCTTCGGCACGAATGGGCCGGCTCGACCGGAGTGATACCACGGCCGAGCATAAAACTGACGTGAAACCATACTTGCGTTGTGTAAGTGAGGCCTAATTATCTCCCTCCCCAATCTCCCCAATCCCCGAATCCCCAACAATTCTCAAATTCCTAATCCCCAAAGGCCGGTAATACATTTGTAACACCGCTGGTGTTCCAAGTGTTCATGGGCGGCACTGATTGTTTACCATCAGGTGATTTGTCTGATCTAATACTGGCTTATTTAATAAAAGAAGGAAATATTATGTACATCTTTAGGTACACTCATTAAGTAGACAAATAGATTGAGTTTTCACATTTTTGCGAAACTTCATAATTGGAACTTCAGCATTTGGAAAAATCAAGGTTTTAAAATATGGTTCTAACGTTCAATAATACCATATCCTCATCTTATCGTGTCATAATATATAATTCCTTTGTTTTCTTCTTCGTATTAACCCTATTTCTATGTCGTTCTTTTATATTTTCATCTTCAATATGTATACTACGTAGTACAAACACATTAATAACATTAAATAACCTTAACTACAAAAATTCATCAATATTCATAATAAATCAGTTTTCCTTCCTCTCTGCTCAAACTTTAAAATTTAAAGGAAATAACATGGCCATTTTGAAACAGTCCCATATTAAAATCTGATACAGGAAAATCTAAGCACAAGAATTTAATGAAGATGCCATTGTTCATCACCATCACTAGATACGTATTAACAAAGAGTAATTTAGAAGCCGCACAATGGTGTCACTGACCATAATGGTACAGGGCATTCGGCTATCAAACCTTTTATATCCAGTATAAACTGACCCTCGAATAAGTAACAAGATCGTACAAAACAAGACCATGATGAACTGGTTGTCTAGTTTGCTACGTACCCGTACATAAAAGGCAGTACCTATAATAATATGATGTAATAATTATATATGTCGTGGTGACCCGGAGGTTTAAGACTCCCGCTTCTCATGATAATTCTCTGGGATAATTATAAGTTTGAAATCGCCAACCCGCATTGAGCAAACGTGGTGATTATTGCTTAAACCTTCTCTGTGTGGGAAGAGGCTTTCCTCAACAGTGGGCATTATAGGCTGTTGATGTGATGTGAAAATTATATAGGTAGTACGTACACTATGCTGTCATAGTCCTATAATATTTTAATAAATTAGTAAGTAATCACGGAAAATTGTCGTTAATTTTTTGAACGGGTGAACTGAATTACACCGTTCGCGTGCGTATCGTCGACGCAAGACTCACCGCACTCGAGCGTACGGCGCGTCGCGTTCCGCGCGAGCCTCAAAGAACCATCAGACCACCACAGACGGGGCCCAACAGGGCCGATGCCGATTCCGAGTCGCGGAGAACCTAACGGGTTACCGGGGCTCCGGTTCGACGTGCAGGAGAAGGAACGGGGTGGTTTTTAGTCAATAAGAGTCTGACACTCCCTCCCGCCTCATCCAGGCGGGAGCAGTCATTCGATGATTGTCCCCCCTTAAAAAAAAAGGCGCCGCACTATCGTGGGTACGGTGTTATTGGCAATTTTTGGTGCTTTTGTAAAAAAAATCTTTTAATTTTGTTTGTTTTTTGTAATTGACTTTTAACTAACTGGAAATGATATTTTAGGTAGGTATTTGGTTTTAGAATATCATATCCTCTTTTATCGCTAATACTATCATTGGCATCACCATCATATTATTCAGCCCCATTACTTGATTGAGAAGCAACCTTGCAAAGCATTTGTGATCTTTATCAGTAGTTTATATAATGTATATCCCTAATTTCCTGGTTTAAATGTTTTAGCATGAATAGCTGAACGAATTAAATTTATTTACAAATAATAACATTTTACCAAAACATAAAGATAACGAGAAAAACGAACATTTTAATGTCAAAATATACGAGAGAAAATAATAAAATAAATTGCGCGCTCGAAACGCTTTTAGTATCAAATCTAAAATGACATGTAACATCGAGTTGATCGTTACTTTTTATGTATAAACCTACCAAATCCAGGAGTACATAAGTATAAAGCACCATTTTACCTTTACTAACCCTTTTCACATCGCCAGCGAAATCGTATTCGATAAGTACGTGAATACCTTACCATTTCCCGCCACTCATGCGTAACGATATTTAAATTTATTTTATCTACGTCACACTTCCATCCCTCTATTACCATATAACCATCACCCATTATAATCTGACACGTGACGGTGGCGCCACTGTCGCTTTTGGTCGTCAACATGGAAGCTAAGGTAATACTTGGGTGGTTAGTTCTAGTTTGGTGCGTAGGTCTAGGTGTGTTGGTGGCGGTCGGAGTCAGGTAGCAAGGGCATCGATATCAATCGTGAAGCTCACCACTCGATAAAGATAATATGGTAAAAGCATTTCGAGTGTTGTGTCCACTCTGTGGCACGGCCTGTCATGTTGAGAGGATAGAATAGATGGATACGGTATTATTTATTAAAAAATTCGTTCTCTATAGACAGGGCAAATTATTTTCTTTACTTTACTAACTTTACCGTTGCCAGTCTTTTGTTATTCTACGTAAGGTACATTACCTATTGTATATTTTAATAACTCCATCGATGCTTAACATGAATTAATCATTTAATATTAACTATCGTCACCTTCAAGAAAAAAGGTAACAGCACAATAGATAATGCCTTCATTAAAGAAGAAAGAAAGAAAGAAAAACCATTTATTTTGCTACGACACACAACAACAATTACCTACTCATTAAAATATCTACAGACAGAAAAATATGCATTTAGGTATTTGTGGACAATATTCCTGCAGACTATCCCGAGGAAATAAAACTCCGACGTCATCAACAGAAACAAATAGAATGTTATCAATTAACGTGTGTGTTGTGAATAAAAACCATGTCACGGCAAGTTACGTCAAGTTGAGGTGACAATAAATAATATTA